GATATCTCAAAGGGCCCTAAGCACCTAGGTTTAGGCACCTGATAGGGGTCCGTTAACGATGATGGGAGTACAGAGACCTAGCTGGCGAGGATGCACCAGAAGCCATGTGTCTTAGTCTGGAATGAAATTTCTCCCCTAATATTACAGTGACTGTGCTTAATTCTTTTGTTTTTAAGGCCAGCTCCTAGTTTTTAATTAAAAGAAAAAAGGAAGCAAATTTATATTAATTCCATGATCTGTTGCAGAAACATGTGGCACGCATTCAAAATACATGAGAGCTGTTTACCCCACAAAAACCTTTCCAAACCACTATACTATTGTCACCGTAAGTGTGAATTTACTATTTTTGCTTTTCGTTATCTAGGCAATGCAGAAAGGATGTTGTTGTGCCAAGCAGTTGGCAATCTGATCATTTTGCGGGACATGGCAAGGCAGATTATGAAGCTGAAGGAAAAAAAGAGATGCTGAGGCAGTACGTTCAGTAGTCTAGAGGGAAAGGGGCATAGGGTCTATGTGCTTACGTTTGTCCTCTATAATTCTGGTCTGTCAACAGGTTATTTCTAGCTTTAGTCACTAACTGGGTAAGTCTAAGTGTGGTTGAGGGCACGTGAGAGGCCACATGGGTTATGGTGGGTTTTGCTGCTAATACATAGGCACATGGCATATATGGCATTTAAAATATACCACATTTGTTTTTAATTCAAATGGGGAGAAAATAAGGAAGCTAAGGGGAAGCTGGCAGGCATGCTGAATGTCATTGAAGCAATGTGATGATCTGTGTGAGTTAGGAAAGCTAGCAGCTCTAAAAGTCATGGCAACAGTGTGCACAGCAGCATAGCTTAGCTTTCATTTAATTTTATGTATCATACTTCTTTTTTTTTGTTTATTTTTAATTTTCAGGGACTGTATCCAGAATCTCATGGTGTTATTGATAACAACATGTATGATGTAAAATTCAACAAGAGTTTCTCACTTTCGGGGACTGAAAAATTCCAGCCTTATTGGTGGAATGGGCAGCCAGTAGGTGTCTTTCTCTTTACAGTATTCCGTTATGCCTAGAGTAGCTTATGTGTCATAAAACAAATAACCAAAAAACAGGCAAAATGCCAAGCTGTGTGATATGTTCTGTATATATTCTGTAATGTTCTGTAATAATGCTAAATATCCCGTTTGCTTTGTGTTATAAGCTCCATAAGAAACAATTTACTTTTTATGTAAGCAAAATAACTCCTTAAACATTAACACTGAGACTGGAAAAAAACACAGTTAGTAAAAAGTCTTAAAATATTGTGGCTATTAAAATAGAAGTCTTCTCAAAGGAAGCCACAATAAATTTTTGATGGTGTTTTACTGCTTTTTTTTCCCCCTACAACATACAAAATCAAATCTGAAAATCTACTTGCAAAATACATCCATTTAATAAAAATACACAGGGTCAAGACTGTCTGTGTCTAAAGTAGTACTTGCAAAGTCCATGAATAAAAAAGCAAGGAAAACAATAGCAAAGAACTTTATTTACAGCAAAATGAACATGTATAAAATATGGCAAAAAACCACTGAGTTTTACCTAGATTTATGATTAATTTTACACAATTACTGGGAATATCAAGCTTTAAATACAGAACAAAAATATGAAACATTATTATAGTATAACACTTAGTATGCAACTACTTGTTTTTTGTTGCTGTTGTTTCATTTGATTCAGACAGACTTGCAATAGGGCCATAGCTGCCCTCTTTAAGATGGAGAGAAATATGTTCTCCTTTTTTTTTTTTCTATGCTGAGAATATCCAAGGAATAGCAACATCCTGTGTTCAATGCTGCTATTTTTTCTTCAGAATGTAAAAGTTAAATACACAGAATTGCATACAGTTGTTCACCAGCTGCATGGCAGGTGAAGAAAAGAAAATGAAATAAAAGTCCAGAGCCCAGATTTCTGATCCAACTGTGTAGTTTGACTCTGGTGATCTGAGGTCCTCTGGTGGTGTAAATGCCATAAAATCATGTGTTGTAATTTTTACCTGTAGATCTGGCTGACAGCAATGTACCAAGATTTGAAAGCTGGCACCTTCTTCTGGCCAGGCTCCGATGTCCCTATCAATGGTACATATCCCACCCTGTACACTGTATACAACAAGTAAGTTCTTATAGTGCTTGTAGTAAATTCCTGTAAGTTACTCCAAAAAATCCCAATTGCCTTATGATAGCTGATGGAAATGAATGACTACATTTTTCAATGACAGTTGGAGAGATAAATGTCATCTAAAACTGCCTATTTTTTTCATGGAGCTACCATTAATAGCTGAAATTTTCAAAATCATTTAGGGGATTCACATTGAGGAAGTCAAAGGGCACTATATATTCCCTTTTCTTTTCAGACAGTTTTGAAACTTCATCCAAATACAAACCATTAATTTCCCTATCAGAAGTCACCCTATACTTGATTAGTAACCGCCTTTAAGCTATATCAAAAATAACCACATTTTCACACATAAATTTACAGACAAAATATAGCCCTTTAAAAATACCTAAAAAATAAGTTTTAAAAATAAGTTTACCTTTAAAAATACCCTTAAAAATAAGTTTTCAGGTAACCAGTACCCTGACACAACCAACCCATACAAGAGGGAAGAAACCAGTGGAACAGAGGACTCTGGATAGGGAAGGTACAGGAGGAAGATGGGCAGGGTGAATTCCCTATGGTATTGCTGGCAGATATGATGACACACACACTGCTCCTGAATCACAGTCCTACTCACAGTTCTCAATGTTTTAACCAGTAAATTCACATGTGAAAAGATAGCAATTACCTTCACATTATTTTTTTTTCTTACGGAAGGCATTGCTATTAGCATACTATTCCTTAATTTGCAGTCACCTCAGTCATTCTTTCTTATTTCTCTTAATTCCTCTGTACATTTACAAAGCTCACAACTTGCAAGTATATCTCGAACATTTCTGTTTGCAGGATCAAGATCTGACTTATTTGCCATTAGAAATGTGTTGCGTTCAAACAAAAAATGAGAATAAAAATCATTGCTGGTGTCTTATTGTGATACAGTATTCTTGACATCCAAACCTTTGATTTTGATGTATTTCTAGGGAGTGGACTCTCTCTCTCTGTGTGTATTTGGATTTGGGATATTAGAAAGGCTGATCACAACACGCTTGTTGACAACATTTTTTTTTTTCTTTTTCCAGTTCAGTTGAATATGAACAGAGAATTTCAAGGATATTGAAATGGCTTGATAATCCCAAATCGGAGAGGTAATGATTACTAATATCCAGCTGGTTTGTGAGAGTACAGCTTAGAATGACTTTAATGCTTAGTAACTGAAGTTTCTGTTTGTGAAACATGGAAGAGTTCTTCTCATCATCTTAAATGGTAGTCTTTTAAACTGAAGTCTGTTTTACAAGTATAACTAATCATTTTCAGAATAGATACAAAATATAAAGAAGTGTCTGTATGTTGGGCTAGGATGTGCTGTTGTAAAACATTTTTAATGGTCTTTTTTTGTGTTGGTGTGTGGCCCAGAGGAAACATGTAACTTTCAGCTTCTACTGTAAGTGTATGAATGGAAGAGATTATGACAGATTTATGATAAGAAATGCTAAATGTCTGAAAATAATTGCAGTAACTTTTTACATCCTGAAAAAAAGTTCAGGATGAAAAGCAGCTGTTTGCACTAGTTGTAGTGGGTTGAAGAATTACTTCATTTTCATGTGCCTGAGAATAGCAGACAAACAGAAGACTTTTAAGTCTTCTGTGTAACAAGAGAACCTTATGAACCTTGTAGTGAGCTAAGAACATAATTTATCAGTTAGTTGGCCAGTTGATCCCTGTCTGTTGCAACTGTTTAAATAAAATAATGATATATGAAGAAGTATTTTTTTATATATATTTAAATGGAATGAGAGTTCACCAGGCTGATCTTTGTGACAAGCAAATGAGTGAAATCTTTTTGTGATGGTTTTTTAGCAAATTCCTCATATATTTGCAGTGAGGGATGCTTTCTAGAGCCTCACCATTTAAGCAGGAAGAGGTCCTTTGGTGATAATTCTACTTGTATCTTAATAAAGAACAGCTTTATTTGCTATGTGGGATCTTGAGGTTTTTCAGATGATATCTGCACACCAATTAAAGATATTGAAAACAGTTTTGGAAATTGTAGTTCCAAATAAGCCATGTCAATTACAAAACTCAGCAAGACTGGGTGATTATATTTGCTGTAAGGGTTTTTATTAAAAATTGAAGAAAATGTTTATAATTCTGTTCATATTGCATTTTATTTTTCTTTTTTTTTTAGTGAAACTGTTTGTTTGCAATTCTTTCTGCAAATTCTCATAATATTCCTTTCTTATTTTTGGCTCTAGGCCTGATTTTTACACTTTGTATATTGAAGAACCAGATTCCTCTGGGCATTCGTTTGGACCAGTTAGTAGTGGTGTAAGTAGTTGTGGTGTTTCTTCTTAAATTAATTGTCACCAGAAATAGAGATGTTCCTACTATAAAAACAGTTTTATCATGTTTTATAAATTTGGTGTTTTAATGGAAATTTTTGGATAAGGAGCACATTTGTTTTGAATGTGCTACTCTTTTTTAATAAAATATATTTTAAAGATCAAATTTTCTTAGGTAATAGAAAAAATAGCGTGATTCTTTTTTTAAGCTAGTGTAGCATACACTGTTGTAAATTAGTGGGATTATGCATATGTGTTTTGTAGTGGTGATGGTAAATTGCGTTGCCTCAGGAAAAAAAAAAGCAGCAATATTAGGAACTTGAAAGCTCAGTTGGTGCTTGCATTTAGGTTACATCTTGTTTATCTCACAGGTAATCAAAGCTTTGCAGCGAGCTGATCAAGCCCTGGGAATGCTAATGGAGGGACTTAAACAGAGAAATCTGCACCACTGTGTAAATGTAATTCTTTTAGCTGATCACGGTAATGTATATAGTTCAGTTTTTCAATACAAGTTTCACTGAGTCATTTTCTTCCTTGTATAGTAGGTGTGCTTACTGTTTTTAATCCATTTTATAATCTGCGTTGTCTTCCTTGCCATTGTATGTAATGAAATAACTTTTTGCATTTTTCTTAGGGATGGAGAGGACATACTGCACCCAATTAGAATACATAGCTGACTACTTAAAGCAGACTAGTTTCTACATATATGCTGGGCCTGCAGCTCGCATCCGTGCGTACAGCGTCCCAAAGGACTATTTCACTTGTAAGTGTGGGCAAGTCTTGAGACTGCATGAAGAACGTAACAGAAAGCAAATAAATAAGGGAGATGGATGATCAGTACTAATCAGGACGGTGAACAGCTGTCTGTTTCACCTAACCAGACTAGAACACTCATGGAAACATTTTTTTTTTTTTTTGCAAGAATGACCCTTTTAGATCAGTCTGAAAGAGGGAAAAGCTAGCTGCAGAGGTTGATTTGCATTGTCTTGGCAGGAGGAAACATGAAATGCAGATAGTTTTGTAGTTTTGAAATGGGACTTCAGATTTTTGGTAAGTGCACTGCTCTTCACAGATATCTTGTGCAGCACTAGGAGAGGTGCTCAAGTCTTTTGCAGCAGTGACTGTTTCTAACTGTGTGTGTACAGTTATAGGATCTGAATGACAGCACAGTGGGATCTGAGTCTTGGTTGAGCTCTCTGCCTAGTGTCATAAGAGAACATAAAATTAATGCCATGTGAACTGACTCTGGATCAGAATAGAAACAGTGCTACCATCCTCAAAAAATCAAAATCAAAACCAATCAAAACCAAACAAAACCCCGCAAAAAAACCATCAGTTTTCTGTATCAGGATGAGTTGAGGTAAGACTATGAAAGTGATTTTTTTAAGGGGGATAGAATTAATGAAGATTATCTAGAAGATATAGTTTTTGAGGATCACAAGGAGGATGTTACTGTACTTTATTTTTGTATTTATCTTTTCTAATTGTACGTCTATTTGCAAGCACAACATTTATACAATATGAAACAGACTTTCCTTGCCTTAGGGAGTGGACAGTCTAAGTCAGACAGGAACAGAGTAACAAAATATTCTGAGCAGTTCCAGAAAAGAGAATAATGATGTTTGGCATGTGTTTTAATCATAGTATAATTGTTGACTCATTTCCTCTGACAGTCTTACTCTCTCTGAAGGAATTTTCCTTTAGTAAATTGCCCAGATTTGTTTTTTAGAAAGCAAATGTCAAAAGGTTAAAGTTACTCTTCTAATATGTGGAAGGTAAAGGCAAGAAGGCAGACTGGGTTTTCTCTGTGACTGCTGCCGTAAGTGGAATACAAGACAAATGCACCAGATCTGCTTCAGTGTAAAAATATATATATTTCAAAGAGAAGTTATGGAGGAGAAGAAAAATTCATTTTGATGATTTGTCACCTTTAGGCACTCATCACCATGGCAGTTTTTCACAATCTGTCTTGATGTGCACCAAGCTAAAGATGTTATAAGTTACCAGCTACTTCTATTGGGTATCATACTTACAAGCAATTTCCCTTGGAAATATCATTTTGCTGCTTGGTAATCATAATCTTCACAGCCTGTTAAGAGAAATACTCAGTTCTACAGAAGGAAACATGTTGACACTTCTCATGAATCTTTGCACCTTTAATCATTTGAATGTATGTTAATTTTTCTTTTTCTTTTTTTAACAGTTGATTCAGAAGGAATTGTTAAAAACCTTACAGTGAGTAAATATTTTAATAGTTTCTCTTCTTAGTTTCTTTGAATAGTCATATGATCAAAAAGTGAACAGAAAAGATCAGAAAGAGCATCAAAAGATTCCCCTCCCTCTCCCCCCCAAAAAAGATCAAGATCAAAAACATTTTATGAAAAACTGAAACTATGGTGACAGATTTGATGGTTTATTGATAGGGCCTATCTTCCTTATGCAAGAGCATGTGATCCAGAGATGCTTTAGATAGTAGAGACCCTACAAGCTCTGGACCACAAGCACTGCACCCAGGCTAAAGCAATTTTCCACACAGCAGATAATGACATTGTCAAGCACATAGCCACAGGGCGTTATAGAGACTGGGAGGATAAGTAGAAACAGGGTATTAGACAAATTAGTGAAGGACAAGTTTGTAAGGGCTATCAATATGATCCACAAGAAAATTCTGACTTAGGGAATCCCTGAAGCCTACAGGAATGTGAATGGGTGCAAAAAAAAAAAAAAGGCCCATTCTGTACTAGGCTTGTGTTTTTTATAGTTTTCCAAAGAATCTGATGCTGGCTGCTGTTGGAAACAGAGTGATGGGCAAAATGGCCTTTGGCATGATGCAGTATGGATGTTTTCAGGATCTTTTTTCAGATGGGGCTTGGGTACTTGGGTACTTGGGTACCCGGCAATACTTTTGTATGTTAATCCACCTCCCCTGCTTCTTGCCCCGTACTGGAAGTTCTGCTGGAGCTTGCAGCGTGGATGAACCACCTCAGAGCAGGGCCAAGCGTGGCTGGGTCCCCAGGGTACCCCACTGTGCCTTGTGGTTCCTGCTGTCACAGCTGAGCTCCGCAGTAGGGGCAAAGCCAAGGGAGACCAAGC